ACCGGTACTTTGATCTGTTATCCTTTCATACAGGGGCGGTTACACTGACACTAGCACAGTGGTATTGATGCCAATCATCTCCAGGCACGGTGCTGGTTCGATCCCGCCCTGGGCGCATCAATCCACTCATCACTCGGGGGTCAGGAAATCGGCACGGGATTTGTCCGGGAAAAATCACTTTTGCGATCCAATTAACGCTCTAGCCTGATTATCCTAGGACTTCAGTGAGAATCGACTCGATCAACATTCTACGACATTCAAGATGTAATGAAAATCCTCAAGCAGCAGCACGTAAAAGTTGAAAGAACTTCGTGGTTGGTGGGTGCGAGGAAGCGAATCGGATGCAAGAAGTGCTAGGGATCCGCGCAGTAGATGTGAAGACGGGTCGTATAAAAATGAAAAAGACCCTGTCATACTACCACATTTAGTTTGGGGTTTGTCTGATATCAGTTTGCCAACCCAAGAGGAATGCGAGGCAAGGATTGCTCACGGACGGGGATCGAACCAAGGACCACGTGTGTATTACTAGTTCTGGACAACATTTACCACAAAATGGCAAATGTTGACCATCATTTTTGAATCACATCCGCGTAAACTTCCTCTGCAAGCCACTGTGTCGTTTCCACATGTACTTTCGATAGGAGCCAGCTATTGTGTCGGCATCGGATGAACATTCTGTACAAGCTATTCTATCGCTATCTGATGAACCTTAATTATAATGAAGCTTCTCGAATAGTGGTTTTAACTGATCTACTTTTCCGCGCCTGCCATGTCTTACTCTGAAGCAGCTCTATCAGATTGCACTAGCTGAGGAACTCTCTAAACTCCCTTTTTGAGCATTAACTCAAGTTTCTTCTGTTAATCTCCACCCATTACAGAAAGAATATTAAGGAAAAAGAAAAGCAGCATTATTAGACTTCCAGTTCGTTAGTTGGCTCAACTTGCACTCTTGCAGTCTCCATCTTCGACTTGGCGCTTGTATTGTTTACCTTCCGGACATCATCGCATCGTTGTATTGCTATTATTGCTATAGACGGATAATCCGGTTTGTCAAACAACAAAAGATTTGATTTATGGAAATATCAAGCACTCCCACGTGAGAAACTGGTACAAAATCGAGAATTCTATCTCGAACTAGTAATATTCGAGCGTTTGATAACTGACCCTAATTACCGCATTCCACGAATCCAGTTCTCTATAGAGGTTGTGTCTAACCATTGGTTCACACCCGAATCCCATATTAAATTATTATCCAGCAATGAGTGCGGTTCCTAGTTAACTAATGTCAACTTCCATCTACCTGTCAACACCAAGAAAAAGAAGTTTGCTATTACCGGAGTAAATCGCGAAGTTGTCCATGAATATCGCCGAAAATTAGGATAGGTGCATCGATTTCCAACATTGCCGGTTGTGGTTCCAATGATTGCTTCGCCTGAGAATTCAATTCTCAGCAACGACATAGTACATTGTTTCTGGATTTCTAGCACGTATGTTAACATTCCCTTAAAGGTATTAACATCTGTTCTGGGTAAGCAATTGGGTGATTGTAAAAAATGCAGCAAAGAAAGCTCAATGCAGAAAAGTCAGCGGCCGAAAGGAAAAACGAGTCACATGTGGCTTATAATGGCCAGCCATGCCATGAAACGCACGAGTTATATATGACTCATGCCGGCGCTAATGTGCCAAGAACAACTACATGGCTGTTGAATATGGCCGTTAAGTAGCTTCATTTTTAAAATTTTTTCAGTGCTTTTTTCATTTAGTCGTTCGCTTGAACGTACAACGTCTATGAGTCGGAATTTTAGGGCAAAATATCCTAGTGCTTGATAAATGCATAGTTGTAGCTCACTTCTCTAAGTACAGCTAAAACTTCTTCATCGGTAAACCCAGAAAGGTGACCTTCGCGAGTAATCCGTCGAATCATTCTGCTGATTAACGTGGGCACAGATGTAGCCTAGAAGTGAAGGCAATCTTAAAATAAGGCACAGTTTAAATAAGATAAGTATTCATCGGCTATCCCTACGTGCTGCACGGATTTCGATTAAATTTGCCTCTTTCTTAATGACATTCGAAAGCAGGCTTTCAACTTCGGATGTCGTCAAGATAGGACTTCACTATCTTGCAAATCTCCCACAGTGGCGTTCTCTGAAGTTGAAAGCCTACTATCGAATATCGTTAGAAAACGAATGACATCCTCTATGAAGGCATATGAATGATTTCCTATCCAGAAAATGAATTGCTTCACCACTTTAGTGGCGATTTCTGATGATCGCTTGACACTTCGTCAGACCCAATCGCTAACAGCTCTTGCCCAACGGTTACCGTAAAGAAACCTATTAAATAAAGGTGTTCAGCACGAATGATTCTCGACTTACATACGCATACGGTACTACCTACTGTATTTGACTGTCGACTTAAGTCAGACTTCCCTCTTCTCTCGTTTATGTTATACGGTATGCTTTCAGCATCATCCTCATAATAACGCGTTCGATAACGTTGATTGATATGTCACCCTGCTTAACGTGACTTCCAGACTTCCCAGCTGTAGAGAGGATGAGTCATAGGATCGAAAAGGTTAAGACGACCACGCGCCTTTCACCCTCGGAAGCTTCCTCAAGCTTCTTATTTCCTGCTGCTCAGCTTCAGATTTCTGTCGTTCAACTCATTGACATCAGAACCCAGTTAAACATTGGTGGAACATTCACAGGCACTCATTCCATTGTTCGTGAATGAGACATTAAGAACGAATAAACTTCTAAAGAAAAAAAAATTCCTTTGAGAATCAACTGGAGACCAATCTTCTAAGTTCTCGGGATCAGCAAGCGTTTATTTCACCTTGCCCTGAAGGACAAAAGCACCAATCTGATATCGGTAGGCCAGCACAAATTGTTGTACAGGTCATATAGTCAGCCAACTCAGTGATGATACGAATGGAGTCGAACACATGGCGCATCTCTTAAGAATTGATCGACACCAAATACTTCATCCTTCATCCTTCCATAACTGTTCAGCCCCCAACAACAAGTTCAACGACATTTATACTCATGAAGGGGTAGCAGTGCTTTGTGCTATTGTGAGTCAACAAAAACGTGTTAAGCGGTATTAGCAAAATCCGCTGAAAGGATAAAGGATAAAGCTCCCAATCTCTGAAGGATACACCATGCATTCGACTTCATTAAGCATCGTTGGAGATGATCGAATGCATAACTGGCCTTTACAATGACTCGCAGTGGCCTACCGAAGTATCGAGCCAGTGCTACTACTCTCCCAGACAAGTTTGCTACCAATTTACTGACCCCGGAGAGGTGGAAGGTTTGGTGGACCTTGGGGGCAGAAATCGATCCCATGTGTGTTGCAGGGAGCGCCAGACCATTGCGCTACTCTCGTCTTGCTTAAATCCGTTGCTGTGTTAAATAACTCTTTTTGAACCAAACCCTCCTTAGTCACCTTGTTAAATGTTCTGTTTGTCCTGTTGAGAGCAAGCTGAACAAAAAGATTGTAAATACCAGACACTAGGCAGATTGGCCGATAGTTACTGATAGCTATAGGTCCACCTTCCTGTGAATCATTACTGTTTTCTTGGTCTTCGACCCATTGAGAAAATTGTATTGCGACAGCAACTCCCTTTAATGAATACAATGTACATCGGATGCTTAATTAACCTCGAGGTTAATGGAAAGTTGGTTGTGGGAATAACCCCATTCAGTTCAACTAGGGTCCGAACCTTAAGTTCTAAAGGAGGAACCACGTGCCAAAAAGTACACTATAGTTTTTTTAACATTTACAATTCTACTGTGGTCAACGAACTTTGCACTACAGCATTATGTTTTTATGGTCCAAGCCATAACCTACTGATAAGGTTAGCCGGTCCTCTTTACGTCTGTCTCTGTACGTGTGTAGTTGCGTACACATATGTGTATATTACGCCTTGTTCATATAGTTGTACTATTCCTATGTCGGGCCACGTAAAGTACTACTCATATGACCTGAACTAGTAACTGCATGCCTTTCAAAAAGTCATCTTCAAATTTAATAACTTACAGGAACTAACGATTTTTGTTTATTTGATTGCATCATCAATCGTTAGTAAGCACCGGAATTGCTAAAGTAATTCGGTACGTTAGTACAAGTGAATTGACCCGCTATGGTTCAGATATCCCTTAAATACAATTTGACGCTATCACTTGAATAATTTGATAAGTGCACAACATTTTTTTCGTAGATTTAATTCATCACTTGGCTATCAATGCTTATCATGACGCTAGTCATTTTGATGGTCCCATCACTGCTAGTGGTCATGCCAGTGCCCGGACAAAATGTTCCACTAGACCAAAAGTAAGGTTGGAGACGACCAAATAGACAAGTTCTTTAGTTTGTTTCAACATGTTACTGTAGTCATTCGAGCTGATAGACCCTTTTGTTTCTTGAGACCTTTGCCCTTGATACTTTTTTGACCCTTCTTAATATCCTTCTGCTAATGCTCCTAGTCAAGCGAACTTATTATTCACTAGTTTCGGAACAACCCATTTTTACCTTTATGGTCTTCGTAATCCATAACCCTACAGTTTTACGTGTGTTTATTATTCCTTCTTCGTTGTCTGGTATCACTGTTTGTGGGACGCTTGTAGCGCTGTGCTCGGCCTTCGATACACATGGGATCGAACCCCGCGCCCCAGGCTCACCAAGCCTTCCATTTCTTTGGCGCCAGGAAGTCGGTACCAAACTTGTCTGGGAGGATACCAGCATTGGCTCGATACGTCAGTAAGCCACAGTGAGTCGTTGCATAGGCCAGATATGTATTCAGTCAACTCTGACAATGCCACGAATGGAGTGGAATACATGGCACATCCCTCAGGGACTAATCAACGCCGAGAGCCTTATCCTTTATCCTTATCCCAGTATTTTTGTTTTTTATCAATTTGCTTTGCTAGGGTTCGTGCATTATTTGACCCCTTATTACCCAGTTTTATGGATATCTTGACATTTCTTCTAGGACTGTGATGTCTCTTGCAAAGCAGCCCATAAAAGATGTTGGGATCAGTGGCATAGAGGTATATTTTCCAAAAAACTTCGTCAGTCAGTCGGATATGGAGAAGGTTCGTCTTATTGATTTACTAATTCTCGACCCGTTGTTTATTTGTTTGTTTGTTATTTTTCTTTTTTTTAGTTTGATGGTTGTTCAGCGGGGAAGTATACGATTGGACTCGGTCAAGAGCAGATGGGTTTTTGTGCTGACAATGAGGACATAGTTTCCATAGCACTCACAGTCACTGACGCGTTGCTGCGGAATTACAGTGTAAGAATGAGACGTTCTGAACTAATTCATGTTTTATCTTCTATTTTTTTTTTTATATAACCCGTCTTCATATCGGTTGTGCAGATCCCAGCACTGCGCATTCGATTCGCTCCCTAGTATCCATCATCCACAAAGTCTTCTAACCTTTATGTGTACCTTGGGTTGCTTTTTGAGGATTTTTCATTTCATTTTGGATGTCGTAGAATGCTGGTCAGGTCGATTCTCCCTGAAGTGTTGAGATAACCGGGCCGAAGTGTTCCCATTTGTATTGCAGAGAGTCGTTTTTTACCAAACAAGTTTGGTGCCAGTTTCCCGATTGTAGAGGGATGAGAGGCTTGGTGAGCCTAAGGCGGCATTGAACCACCACCATGCTCGTGATGATAGACATCACTGCCACTGTGCTATCCGCCCCCTTTTGAACCAATTAGACCTACACAATAAGTTTTGCATCGTATTCAAGTAGTCGCTACTAAAATCAGAACTCACTTGTGATGCCTATCCACTTCGTATTGACAAATGAAATGTTTGCTGACCTCGCCCTGAATGCAAAGTTAATACTAGGCTGCATGTAAAGACTCAACTCATTCCGTTACAGTCACGTTTTTTGAGTATTCGTAGGGCTTCTTTATTTTGTATACATGTATACATATTCGCGCATGTAGCACAGTGGTCGGAGGCACCTTGCAATATACGCTGGATCGATCCCCGCGCCCAGGCCCACTAGGCCTTTCATCTCTCCGGGGTCCGCGCGGATTGGTACCAGACTTGTTTGGAAGGATAGCAGCACTGGCTCTCTGGTAAGCCTCTGTGAGCCGTTGTAAGGGCCAGACATACATTCAGTCACCTCCAAGCGATGCTTAATGAAGTCGAATGCATGGCGCGAATAAATCAACGCCATGAGCTTTATCCTTCATTTTATCCTTTATGTAAGTAATCGTTTAAGATTGATCCAAACTCTATCGGCTTTCTTGCTGTCGGCACTGAAACTATCATTGACAAAAGCAAGAGCGTGAAGACTGAACTAATGCGGTTATTCGGTAATAATAATGATATTGAGGTAGTTATATTATTACTTCTTGTTCGTTATTGTACAGTGAATTTGAGTTTTATTGTGTCAGTGTTTTATCTACGCAGTGAAAATGCGTGTTTCTACAGTAATTTTATAGAAGTGGTCTGACAATTGACATCATGAAGTTCCCAGATAGGAGAATCCATTACTTTTCAATGTATCTGGAAATTCGAAATTACCTATAAAGATCATTTCACCACTTTTAGCTTTTGTTCTTTACGAATCTGTTCTGTGAAGATTTTATGGTCAATCCTGTGCTCCCCAGATCAATCCCGTTAATCGCGTTGACGGGTGATTGCTGATGGCACTGGTGTGTAGAAAACTAGCTGAGACAGGCGAAACGAAGGACACGCATGGTGTGGTGGTGAGCGCATTAGTCCCGGGAAAGGAGAATGACGCGTTCGTTCCCCACCGCAGACACATGCGGTCGGGAGTTTTGAAAATATCTCACCATCATTGTAGTTATATTTCACATCATAACCTGCCATGAAAAATGTATAGGTAGTAAATAAAAAGTGACAACACTTTATGGTCAGTTTGAAGGAAAAATGGTTGTATGATCATTCTTCCTTTTTGTGAGTTTCAATTTTCCTGTCTTACAGGACACTTGTTTAAGGACCTCTTCGATTTTTTAGGGTGTCGACGTAAAGAACGCTTGTTTTGGGGGCACCCAAGCGGTATTCCATGCTGTTGACTGGATATATGCGAATTACCTTACAGAAGGAAGAAATGCAATCGTTGTTCTTGCTGATGTAGCTGTTTACGAGGCAGGACCAGCGAGGTGTACTGGAGGTGTTCTATATTCTAGGTTTTCACTGGTCGTTTAGTTTCCCATTCAACTTTTTATCTTTTAGGGGTGGGAGCAATCGCAGTACTAATCACACCAGATGCTCCGGTATCCTTTGATCGTGGGCTTAGAGCCACGTACATGACAGGCACGTGGGATTTTTATAAACCAATTGGTTAGTGTTACTACGATTTCTTTTTGTTTCAAGGTTACCGATAGCATGACTGTGTTCTTGATGTCTTAACCTTAAAAAATATTTCCATCGAATTCGAGGTAAATGTTCGACGGAATATCCAATTGTTGATGGTCCACTTAGCTTACAGTACTACATGAAGTGTTTGGATGCTTGTTACTGGTCCTATAAGAAGAAAGCTGTAGAGCTGTTTGGAGAAGGCGAGTTCATTTCCTTTGGGTCGTCTATTAATGTCGTTCTTGAGTTTCTTTGTGGTGATTTGTTATAAATATTCAACTTAAGACATATCTTTGTCGTCTTTCTCAGCAGCAATGTTTCATTCGCCTTTTAGTCGCATGGTGCAGAAAGCATTAGCTCGGTTGGCGTATAGGTGTCTTGTTTTTCAACTTTCCTATGCATCAGAAGGAAACCGTTTTCTCTCTGTTTTCAGGGATTACGAAAGTGGGAAGCTAGCCGGCGACAGTTACTTCACAGAACTTGGGCAAGCTTTAGTTCGATGGAAATTTAAATCGATGCAATATTTTGGTGGTTTTTTACGCCTTAAATTTGTAGTGTGCTTTCTCCGTCATCTTTCGACGATCGCGATGTGATGCGTTGTCTTTTACATGGTTCAGAAACATTATGGAAGGAAAAGACGTATCCATTTCTTGAGCTGAATCGTCGTATTGGAAATATGTACACTTCATCTCTTTTTGCTCAACTCATAGCGTATCTGGCTTCTGGGTATGTTTGTCTCATCTTTTCGCTAAGTTTTATCAATTGTTCAAATAGATTTGCCTATTCTGATCAAGTATTTCCTTTACTTTAACGCAACAGTCGTCATGAATAGATTTCTTCCTTATTCCCTGAAGACAGAAAGCAAGTGATATGATGGTGTGGTTGTCGTCGTTATTCTCTTACCGATAAAGAAGTAAAGAAATGTGAAGGGCTTAGAACTAGGCGTTATTAAGTCGATTTTTATCAAGCCCTAGTTTTTTATTTTACTTCTTGATCTTGTTTTCAAACAAGTTTCGGTTTTCACTGCCCAGTCAGCTCCTTCCAACGGTTTGCCGCCTCATCGGGGCTGGGAGGTGTTCCTGGGTGTCAGGTTGCGACGTAGTGCGAGGAGATTCATCGTCCCAGCAAGGCCTTCCAGAACGAAAAGGAGTCCGGCGTTTCCAACAGGAAGACTAGCTAACAGTAAACCAACACCAGGATTCACCACCGTCCTGGTGTCAAAGTTGTACCATGGTGGCAAATCTCACTCTGATCCAGAAAGGCGGAGACTGCCTGTGGTGCTGATGGCCCGGGGCAGATTTTGGCCAAGCTGATCTCGGGTCTCCAAGGAACCACAGTGGATAAACTAACAGAACTCCGAAAAAGTGGAAAGGGTGCTCGGACCAGCACAGCCAGTGAGGACTGGCCATGCAAGTATCCAAGTAAATAGTCGGCCTAACTAGTAATTAGGCATTCTTTTTTATTCATTGTTCTTATTGTGAGTAGATCTGCAATTGAAATTTATTGCTAATTTTCCTAGACTTTTTTAGGTACAGCGATAATTTGAATCGAATATTGTTCTTCGCATATGGTAGTGGCTCGGCGTCGGCAATGTTTTCTGCAAGTATTGGTGGATCAGGACCACTACTAGCTCAGATGCAAAAAGTGTCTCGTCTTGCGGTAAGCTTTTTCTTCCTGAAAAGCTTTAATTCATTTAAAGTTTGTTTGTCAAGCTTTGTAATTTGCCTGCCTTAATGGAGTCGGGGCGCGTGTAGCGCAGCGGTCGGAGGCGTCCTACAATAAACAAAGGATTCACCCCTGAGGCTCAGGCCCACCAAGCCCTCTATCCCTCCAGAGTGTGCAAATCGATACCAGACTTGTCTGGAATGATAACAGCGCTGACTCGATAAATCGGTATGCCGCCGCGAGTCATTGTAAAAGTTAAATATGCATTCAGTCACCTCCAACGGTTCTTAATGAGGTCGAAGGTTTATTTTTTGTCTTTGTAATTATCAAGTCGTTCCAGATTGCTCGATTGGACGAGCGATTACTGTGCACACCTCAAGTATACACAGAGGCACTGAGAATGCGGGAAGACCTTCTGTCGTCGGACGGTGTGTTATTAAATGTCCATTCATGACAACGAGTAAGAAAGCGTTAAGCTCAACCGTAAATATATGGCTTGACTCCTTACTTGGAGTTCAACTATTTTCACTAAATAGCCGACATTTTCAATTAACTCCGTTATAGTGCCTGTGAAGCCGAAAGCGAATTGTTCCGATCCATCGACGCTGGCTTTGTTTCCAGGAACATATTTCTTAACTTTAATAGATGAGAAAAACAGGCGATACTACAGCAGAGTTGCAAATGAGCCATGTTTGGAGAATCATATTAATGGAACTGTGAATTGAATTGGTGAGGGCGTGAAAATCAACGAGCATGCTTGATCGATAATTATATTGTACATACAGACAGTTACTGTCTTAGAGTCTGAACTAGGACTGTTCATGTTTTGAGGGAAATCCTACATATATTGATTTGTTTACCAAATGTGAGGAGTTTTTCTCGTTTCTTTCGACTTGTTCTTTATTGCATAGGGACTTGAGCTCAGTCATTCTTTCCCAGTATGACGGATATGCATGAACATAGTTAAGTTTACAGAAGACTTATGAGTTACTGCCTTAGACCGGTGTATTGGAGACTGCGAAGTTCGTTTCCAGTAAGCGGTGAACCGGAGTTGTTGAGCTCTTAATTATAGTGACTTTTTTAAGCAGCACACCTATAATAACTCTTGAAGAGTGGGTTCAGTTGAGAAAACTTCATACGGTGCTATTGTTAAAGTCAAGTTCATCTGATATCGTTTCACACTATTCTTATGAGGTAAATCCTATGAGTTGATGTGATGTAAGGGACTTAACAGTAATAGGGAATATGGTCCTAAGTGGACTTAGGACTTGTAGTCGGTTTACTTAGGACATAGTCAAAGTTGGTGAAACGCTGTATACCAGAGGAGCTAGTATCCAGTTTCTCATGTGGAGTAGCATACATTCATTCTCACAGGCGCTTTGCTCTTAAGCGTTTGGCTTCCTGTGCTATATATATATTGGTTTTTGTAGTATTTTGATGACTTTTTATACTGTTAAGTGTTGTAATGACTCATAGAAACATACCAGTGTTAGTTTCTTGTTTTTATATTTAATAATACTTCTGTTGTTTCTGCAGAATCCGTTCTTGTTCCTTATGTTAGCTGTCTTTTGAAATGTAGCACTGTTTTCCTTTCTATAGCAGTATCCGATTAACAGGTTTTCCACGTACGAGTTTGTTCTCCTCTTCTCCATTATACCTGATATCTATGAAATGAGATCATACGTCGTGTATGTGATGTAATAAAATTTAAAACAGGAAAAGAGTAATGGAATGACATGATGGTGTATGATTTTGGTAGGAAAAATCCAGACATACTGATAAAGTATCTCTATCTAGAGGCTGATAACAGTTTGTGTGTAGTCCTTTGTTTCAACAACTCGACAATCCGATACTGCTGAGAGATACTGGGTAGTTAGTAGTTTTATGTTAAGTTATTTTAAGTCACTTTAAATACTTTTAAGGGGTTAAAGCTAACGATATTAAGTACTTTGAATCTACAAAGTCATGTAATCGAAGGATATTCACCAATTTAAGGCCAAACTTGGGGTTTTGTCTTAGAGAAAGTGACTCGTGTACTATACGGGAGCCTGAGCCGCAGTACGATATCTTACTAGGAGTTCGTACGATTGCCTTAAAAGCTAGGTATGGTAAAGTCTTGTTGTTTTTCCTTTTCTATGTTTTTTCTAACACGGGAGTCAAGTTTTAATGGCTAGGTTAAGGCAGCTGTGATCGTAAGGATGTTCGCAGGTGGGGAATTTATTGTTTGCCCGTGTTCAGTTTCCCATTTTTACTGAACAATTTCCTCGAAAGGGTGTTGATAGTAATTCCCTTTTTATGTCGTTCATACCTTTCTTGCTGTACGCTGAAGTTTATGAGTTCTGGGGTCAAATTGTTGCGTTATGATATATCCCGTTAAGGGTTCTTCAGTAAATCTGAAAACCTGAACTAAGACTGGAAACACTAGTTACGGTATCGTCACTTTTCATTTACTGCTTACTGTTTTTTGATAGCAGAGCATTATATAAATAAACGGGTAATAGTGAGCAAGACGGCTGAGAATAAGGCGAAACGAAAGACCTACATGATGTGGTGGTGTACGCATTAACCCCGGAAAGGGTAATAGCTTGTTCGTTCCTCACCACAGACACCAGCGGTCCCTAGTTTTGCAAATATCTCACCATAATTACTAACTAGTTGTCATCGAAGTTTCTTGGGTTGTTTTCGTGAATGTCGTTTTTTCGATATCCTTCTCACTTAAAAATTTCTCAAGAAGGTTCTATTTGGTTTAACACTCGTTGACATGTTTTTAGTGATAAGTATTGTACTTTAGTTCGAATATTCCTTTCATTTTACAGTGCGTAGGGATCAAATGGAGGGTCGTATACGAAGTCGCAGCTCTTCACGATCGCCTAAGCACCGTCGCCGAGCCGGTCGTTCGTCTGACAGGTCGTCTCACGATCGCTCACGATCGCGAAGTCACACTCGAGCCCGATCGATCAGTAGTGATCGTCATAATTCCAGATGTCGACGCTATGGAACAGAAGGAAACAGGTGAACTCTGGAAAGATCTATCACTTTATTTGCTGATTTTAAAATGAGGTGAGTAGTTTGGTTCCAGTAGGGAAGGAAGTGTTCCATGTCGGCGTTCCCGATCAAGATCCATATCTCCACGTAACGGGAAGAACTACGACAGTTCACGTTCGCCTTCACGACGTGATCATAATCGATCGTCGAGTTCAAGTAGTTGTAGTGGTGACAGAGGTAGCAGGAGTCGAAGGTTAGTCGAGACAGATTTCATTTCATAGTCAGTGGTAAAACGAAGCATCGATATAAAATCAACTTGGTTAATCTCTACAGAAACTTATGCAAACCACCATATTTTAACGGAAACGATTCTCGTTATATGTTACCTACCGGTTGCTAATGGATTCTTGGAGACTTGGATGACCGTCAATTGTTGTGCGGGTTGCAGCATAATTTCCATTTTTTTTTTTTTTGGAGTTTTGCTGGTTTAACTATTGTGGTTCCCTGGAGTCCCGAGGTCAGCCTAGCGAAGATATGCTCCATTTCGTCACCACTACAGACAATCGCAGCTTTTGTGAATCAGAGGAAGATTTGCCACCTAGGAACTAGGAAGAGTAGTTTTATGTCAAGACAGTGGTGGATGCTGGTATTGGTTTACTGAAGGATACCGATAGGAATCCGTTTTCTCATAACCCTTACGGACTACAACGAAAGTCTTGTCATGAACTATGTTGAACTGTACTGTTTTGGATATCGTTATCCTATCAAGCCATATGTTTAGTCGTTCTTGTTCTCCGGATTTCGAACGAAATGAGGCGTTACGGGACTCATGGGCAGCGCTGAAGACCCAGCCGGACAATTTTGATGCTTGGATAATACTTCTCACTCAGGCCGATCAGAGTGTTAGTATTAGTATAAATATATATATGTAATTTGTATACATATATATATATACATCACTTTTCTGGTGTAATTCCTCTGTATCCATGCCATTGTAGAAATTGTGTTTTGTATTTAGAATGATATAAAATTGGCTCGAGACATGTACGATCGATTTCTGAGCAAATATCCGTATTGCTATGGTTTTTGGAAGAAGTACGCTGATATGGAACGTCGCCATCAACATTTTTCCGGTGCACTTAATGTAAGTGGTGTTCTTTCCCATCACTTCATCCATGGACGTCCATTGATCCATTCTTCGTATAATAATATACTTTGATATCTGTTTTTAAAATAGTGTTTCTTCAACAGGAACAAATGTTTAAACTATTTTTCGGTATTGACATCTATGAAAAGGTGTACTTATTATCCGTCTCATCTCTTACCTATCGTTTAGTTTAGTTCTGTAGTGCTACATATTCTTTGAAAACATTGGTTGAAAGACTGTTGAGAGAAAGGTAAAACAAAGACTCCGATGGTGTGCTGATGAGCGCCTTAGCCCCCGAAAAGAGTAATAGCACGTTCGAACTCCACCGCAGGTGTCTGCAGTGGGGAACGAACGCGCTGTTGTCCTTTCCGGGGAGTAACGCGTTCACCACCACACCATGCGAGTCCTTCGTTTCGTCGTCTCAGCTCCCGCTAACGGGTGATTGCTGATGGCAGAGATCGACAGAACTAGCTGAGAGACAGGCAAAGCGGAGGACCCGCATGGTGTGGTGGTGAACACTTTACTCTCCGGAAAGGACAATAGCGCGTTCGTTCTCCACTGCAGACACCTGCGGTTCGGAGTTTTGCAAATATCTCAGCATCATTGAAAGTTATATTTCGTAATATGCTCTGCTGTCAAAAAGAATAGGCAATAAATAAAACGGTTAAGATTACGATTATCTCAGCATCATTGTAGTTGTATCTCACATCGTAATCTCCCAAAATGAGTAGGCACTACATAAATGTCTATGCATTGATTGAAATCTTTCTGTAAACATATATTCGGCCAGTTCTGTATGTTACAAGGCTGTTAGTCACTTTTTAAGTCGGTGATTTGAATCACTTTGCTCATATTTCTCGACTTTCTAGCTACTCGTTTCTTATCGTCAATCTGTGTTTCAACCGTCGATGTTTATAGGTGTGGGAGCGAGGAATTCTTGCTATCCCTCTGTCAGTCGACTTATGGCTTGGTTTCTTGTCATTCATGCGCGAATTAGCACCACAGTCAGATAGAGGGATAGAAAAACTCAGAGAGTGAGTGGTAGTGTCCTAGATGAAATTGTCGCCTAGAGAAAGAATGCAGTTCTTCTTCATTTGTGTATTTTTTGTAAAATCTTTCTTTTGAGGTTATATGAGAGGGCTTTGTCTCTCGCAGGATATGAATTCCATAGCGATCGTTTATGGCAAGATTACATTGCATGGGAGGAAGCTCAAGGGGAATGGCGTAGAGTTGCAGAAATCTACGATCGCTTGCTACGTATACCAACTGCAATGTATAAGAGCCATATGGAAAGGTATCTTGTTCTTTTCAAGATTTTTTTTGTTGCTCTTAACAAGGTGGAGAAAAGTATTTATGACGACGCTAAGGTATAACCTTCAACTTTTTGGAAAACAGGGCCTGACAGACGTATGAAGGGATAAAAGCTTGGCGTTTATCAATCGCTTAGGGTCTGCCATGCAGTCGATTTCATCAAGCATCGTTTGGAGATGATTGGATGCATACCCGACATTTAAAATGACTCGTGGTGGCCTAGTGATGTATCGAGCCGGTGCTGCTATTCTTCCAGACAAGACCGGTACCAATTTGTCGACCCGGGAGGGGAGGGAAGGCTTGGTGAGCCTTGGGGCAGGGATCGATCTCATATTTATTCCAGAACGCCTCCGACCACTGCGCAACGTGCGCCCGGTAGTCTTTTGGTGCATCTTATTCCCTAAAAGTGCATAAAACTTCTGGAATATTACGCCTATTTAACATGTCTTCATTCATATTAGTGCACTACTAGCAAAATAAAGCCGCAACCACCTTATCGCCAAATTTTCGAAGAAAAAAAATTTAACACGAAAGTCACTGGTCCCACTGACGCATTTGGGAACATCGTCGTGTGGTTGTGGTATTAGACGAAAGCCCGCTCGTTCAGTCGTTTCTCTTCTCCAGATACATGACTCAACCGCAAAAGGTGAAAATGTAATGGTGAAATAGGAAAACTTGTCTAGTTTTTAAACATCTATAGGTTTTGGTAGTTTTTCTTTCATTTGATATTACTGTGAACTGAAGTATACGTATGTCTGAAGTTTCAAAGACCTGCTTATGGCAAAGCATGCATTGAGATCAATGCATATTTTCAACTTATTGTGAGCTCAACAATTTAAAAGATGTCAATGCACATGCTTGCAAGTGTTAGAGGTAACATGATCGTCCACGCCTTTACTACTTGGTCGCTTGTCTACTCTACTTGGATTCCACTTCCAATTTTTGAATTTGCCTCCTTACCTGCTCTTTTTCACAAAGTTAATCCTGACCAATCTACCGTCTTTTCTCGAGATGTTCGTGCAAACTTAGACACGCTCTCAACATTATGTTTTTCTGAATGAAGGGAGTTTTCCTTCGACCCATTTCAGATCCTAGGTTTGATGGTTTGTTCTTTTTCACGATTTCTTTGAAGGACTTAGTTAAGTTTTGAGGTAGTTGACAGTTATCCCACGTAGGGACTGTACGTTTCTGGCTTTAGAAAAGATTCACTGGATTTGCATAATTACTGTGACTTTTCTTTATGTTCACGCAGCACCATCCCGACTATTTTAAGGGTTCCATTGTTAAATGTAAGGGGTCTAAAGCTCTCGGCGTTGATCCATCCCTGAGGGATGCGCCATGCAATCGACTTCATTGGACGTCTTTATAGGTGAATGAGTGCATATATGGCCCATGCAGTAACTCGCCGTAGCCTACTGACTATCGAGCCAGTGCTGGTGTGCTCCCAGACGGGTCTGCTACCAATTTTCCGGTTCCGGAGGAATGGAAGGCTTGGTGAGCCTGGGGCTCGCGGATCGATCCCATGTGTACCGTATGGCGCCTCCGACCACGGCGCTACGTGCACCCTGATCTCAAGGATCTAAGACGTTTAAATATCGGATGTTTTGAGTGCTTATTTTGCAAAGGAAACTCTTAGCAAGTGTTTGTTCCATGGACTTAACCTGCTGCATGTTGGACTTAACCTCGTTAGTCGCGATATCCCACTTCTTGATGGACATCTTTGCGGGTCGACTAACTACTACACTGTCGTTGGGCAGTGTTCTTGGTGAAATCAACTGGAGACCAACTCATGTTCCACTCTCATAACAAAAGGATAGAAACTATTTATGAACAGCGTTACTGAGTTCAAATGGCATCGATTTTCCTCTCTGGATGCTTCTTACGCTGAACGAGTAAAATGAATTGTCGTTTGAATACTGGAATTCTTGACGTACAAGTAATGGGTGAAAACTTCGACGTTACTGTAGATTCTTGTATCTGGAACTCGAAGAGCACGAGCAGGAGCCGTATTTCCAATGCAGTTTTTGTTGATGAAATTACTTTACTTATTGAATACGACCAACATTTCCTCTTTTTCACTTTTTTACTTGTATTATGACAAGCCAAAGATTGAGTTTTGCTAGATTGACCTTAGGACCTCAGGAAACCACAAGAGCTAAACCATCAAAACTCGGCAAAAGTAGATATTATGCTGGGGTCCGCACAATCAGTGAAAACGAATCCTCCAACTATCCAAGTATAATGACAAACGTTTCAGTAAATATCGCTGTACAATCGAATACACTTTACGTGGAACTACGCCGTTGTTTTATCGTTTAGTTAACATTCTAACTGTCGACTGGTTATGTATTGTTCTTTTGGTGATAACGAAGTTGTGAGGTCATATTCATTTACGAGAGTCGGTTGATATGAAACTCTTTTTGGTACATCCTAACTCAGAGGTCAGAGGTGCCAGAAGAGAGGTACAGAGCGAATTGTTTGCTTTTACACTACTGGTTACCGTTTCAGATTTGAAGCGATTGTGAATATGTGCAATCCGTACGATTTATTATCAGAAGAGGAATTCAATGATATTTTTGATATCGTTAGAAGAAAATGCAATATTGGGGTAAGCAGTACACTTTTATATATTGGTAGCGTTAGAAGAACTAGTTGTTTTCTATTGCAATGATTTTTTAGTTTACGATTTGCTCTGATGCCTTTGTAACTCTATATTTTTAAATTGTGTCAGGTTGATCAGATAGTTATTGATGAGAGCATAGTGAACACTGGTGCTGCTGGAGGTACTGAGATTGCTGAGGCATCCAACTTTCTTCCAGTTATACGGAAAAAGGTGTGTACTTTTTTAGAAATGTATTTTGATTTGAATTATGCTTTGGTAGATCAGAACTGGGATCTACTCGCTCGTTGCGCTGTGTTGTTTTTCTTTGTCTCAGTGAGTCAACAGTATTAGTAAAACGATAAAAGGATAAAACTCATGCCGGTGATCAAACCCTGAGGGATGCTCTATGCATTCGACTAAACATCATTGGAGGTGATTGAGTGCATATCTGGCCTTTACAATGACTCGCGGTGGCCTACTGGTGTAACGAGACGGTGCTGATGTCCTCTCAGACAAGTCTGGTACCAATTCGCCGATCCCAGAGGGGTGGAGGACTTGGTGGGCCTGGGTCGCGGGATTGATTCCATGTGCATTAGAGGGCTCATGTGACCATTGCCCTACATGGGCTCCTAACGGCATTAGTAGGGTAAAGTATTGTAAATATATTGAATAAGTTGTAATGTTAACTTTTCATTTACTGCATTTTACAATTTTTCACGGAACGGTGTTATGTGAGATAGAGCCACAGTGATGCTGAAATATTTGCAAAACTTCGTACTGTAGGTGTCTGCGGGGGTAACGAACGCGCTATGCACCCTTCGAGGTGGCTAAAGCGTTCACCACCACGCTGTGCTGGTGCATTTCAATTTTTGTTCCGTTAGTTTTCTATTTATATTTGTTTAGTTAGTTCCCAGGATCGACTTTCTCTTAACCTCGGCATTGGAATATGAATGTGTCGTTTTCTTGTTCAGCAATCGCGAGGTTTTTAAACAGCATACATTTACTTCCATAAAAACACAATACAATACAACGCTAGCTGACGTTTCGGCAGTATCGCCTTCTTCAGAGCCTGGAAGGGCATACTGATATACAATCTACTAGGCCAAACGCTTCAATAACACTTACAAAAAGGCGAAAAACTCTAAACTAATTACATGATCAACAGCTTCTTGAAAAACTCACTGCTTTTTACGTGGTTTCCAATGAGGAAGTTTAGAACAGCTGATTATAGTCGCATATGGTTGATGACTGCACTATCTGCACTATCCCATATGAGAAATTGATGCGAACATACGGTGTCAGGTCGCGTGTGACCTTTGGGCATTCATTCCTGCTATTCACTTTAGGGTTTTTGGCGTTTATGCAAAAAACCTCGAGAAGTTTTCGCGCTCGTGTTTTAGTCTCCTGTGCAAGGATATTTACTTTTACTTCAAAAAGTCTCCGCTATGCTTTTGTATCCTATGCGTGCCTAGTGGGGTACTTTGTCTTAGCTTTCGTTTGCCATCTAGGTGTTCTTGTGTACGGATACACAAAGGTCTCCCGTTTCGCCAATATATTCATCTCCGCAATTATTACAAAAGATCAGGTGTATCGTACCTTAACTCATGCAATTACCGTCCCTGCCGTAGGGGCAAGTTACGCAATTTGTTGTTTCACATAAACGATCATATAGGTGGTTAAGAACTAATTGACGACGTAGAGTAGCCGGTGGTATTTCAACTATCGCTACCGATTCCTCTAGACCTGCTCTTCTTAAGCATCGTTGTATAGCTACGCTTACTTCATCGCTTATAAAAGGCAACATAAACGGAACTTTCTTTTGGCCAAGTGTTTGGCTTAGTCTCGTCGCTCTCCTTTTAAACTTACCTCGTGCGGTAACCATTTCGTAGCCATTGGAGATGGCTATTTGCTGAACCAAGTCGCGCGATTCTTCCTTTAGTTCCCTAGTTGTGCACACAGAGGTGGCTGTTCGAAACATGTTTCTCACAATCACCCTCTTTGTGTGTGAATGGTGGGAGGAAAGGAAATGAACCAGGATGTTTTCGTTACTTTGTTTTCGGTACCACTTTGTCATGTAACCGCTACTTGATATGTTGATTTAAACGTTAAGAAATTAATGCCAATATACTCAGGCTGCTCGTTCAATAATCCAAAGCATTTGTCCATCTCTTCCTGAGTAGAAAAGATGACAAAACAATTATCTATATATCTGCAGTAGAGTGGCGGCCGGAAATCGATCACCGGGACTTCTATTTTAGGTATGAACGCAATAGTGAGAGCTGGTGTCAACCGCTTATGTTACCCTTTATTAGCGATGAAGTAAGCGTAGCTGTTAAACGACTCGTAAGAAGGGCAAGTGTAGAGGAATCGGTAGCGATAGTTGAAATACCACCGGCTACTCTACGTAGTCAATTAGTTCTTAACCGCCTGCATGACCGTTTATGTGAAACAACAAATTGCGTAACTTGCCCTTACGGCAGGGACGGTGATTGCACGAGTTCCGGTACGATATACCTGATCTCTTGTAATAATTGCGGAGATGAATATATTGGCGAAACGAGCAGACCTTTGTGTATCCGTGTAAAAGAACACCTAGATGGCAAACGAAAGCTAAGACAAAGTACCCCACTAGGCACGCATAAGATACAAAAGCATAGCGGAGACGATTTTGAAGTAAAAGTCAATATTCTTGCATAGAAGACTATAACATCAGCGCGAAGACTTCTTAAGGTTTTTTGGATAAACGCGAAAAACCCCACAGTGAATAGCAGGAAGGAATGCCCAAAGGTCGCACGAGACCTGACACCGTATGTTCGCATCAATTTCTCATATGGGATAGTGCAGTCATCAACCATATGCGAATATAATCAGCTGTTCTAATCTTTCTCATTAGAAGTCACGTAAAAGGCGGTGAGTTTTTCGAGAAACAGTTGCTCATGTAATTACTGTAAAGTTTTTCGTCTTTTTGTTAGTGTTGTTGAAGCGTTTGGCCTAGTAAATTGTACATCAGTACACCTTTCCAGACTCAGAAGAAGGCGATGCTGCCGAAACGTCAGCTACTGCTGTAATGCATTGTGTTTTTCTATGGAAGTAAATGTATGCTGTTTAACAACCTCACGATTTCTGAAGAAGAATACGACGCATTCATGTTCCAGTGCCGAGGTTGATAGAAAGTCTCCTGGGAACTTTTTTTTTGCTTAAAGTTGGACTTGGATTGCAAAAGCTTCTAGATGTCAGGTCTCTATCAAAATAGGTCTCACTCTCTAACTACTGTACCATATGGTCTCTTGTTTGTGTGTTATAATATCACCTGTTTTCTTCAGTTTATTTTCGTCTCTAAAGGGCGACACTTCAAATTTTAATGCATTTAGGCACTTGGGATAATATATTTGGCAAAAATTTCGAACTAAAAGTGTAACGCTAAAGCAGAGCTCTTGAAAACATGATGGATATTAATGGCAACCACTTCCGAACACATTTGGCAATCGCCATTGTTTAGATTCATCCTGATGGCTTGCCACATTTTCAAGCTGAAATTTTGTCTCGCCGTTATCGATGGCACAAGGAAACCGAGGCAATGGTTAACGCTCGTTTACCATTTGAGGATCAGGTACAATAAAATGGGGTTTGAAAACTGTGTAGTAATGTTTTTTTATAGGATTTCGATATCACTTTCCAGATCAAGAGGCCGTACTTCCATGTGAAACCCTTAGAAGCGGAACAGTTAAAAAACTGGCGTTTGTATCTGGATTTTGAGATTATCGAAGGAGATGAAAATCGAATAACGGTGCTTTTTGAGCGATGTCTCATCGCATGTGCGCTTTACGATCAGTTTTGGACTAAGGTGAGTTGTTCATGCTTGTTTCATACAATTTTATGCTTTACAAATGCGATTGTTAAAGGCCGATCTCGCGGTCGGTAGTATCCGTAATTCACCGTGTATTTGAAGCGTTTTTTTTGCAAACAATTTACGCCGTTTAATATAACTATAGTGATGCTGAGATATTTCCAAAACTACGGACCGCAGCTGTCTGCGGTGGGGATCGAACGTGCTATTACACTTTCCGCATGCTAACATGTTTACCACCGCACCATTCAATTCCTTCGTTTCGCCTTTCTCTCAGCCGTGTTGTTGGCCTATAATTGCTACTTTCTTTTTTACGCTGTCACTCTTGGGATCAAGGTCCTAATTCACCTAAAATTGCAGTAGCGAAGGACAAATGTGATGAACTGTTTCCCATATATTCACTAACAGGGCTACATGTGAAAAGTAGATTTAAACAAACGTTATCTGGTAGGCTATGGTGGGGAACGAACGCGCTATTGTCCTTTCCGGGGAGTAGCGCGTTCACCACCACACCACGCGGGTCCTTTGTTTCGCCTGTCTCTCAGCTATTTCTATCGATCTTTGCCACAGCAATCACCCGTCAGAGGGATTGATCTGGGGCGCCCAAATCGGCATAGAACCCAGTTAAGCTGCGGCTGTAGTTGAAATCACAATGTTATACCTTTTTATTTTCTGCCTACTATAATTTCGCTGACGGGTGATTGCTGTGGCAAAGATCGATAGAAATAGCTGAGAGACAGGCGAAACAAAAGACCCGCATGGTGGTGGTGAACGCGCTACTGCCTGGAAAGGACAATAGCGCGTTCGTTCCCACCATAGACACCTGTGGTCCAGAGTTTTGCAAATATCTCAGCAACGTTGTGGTTGTATTTCGCTTAGTATCCTGCCGCGAAATTATAGTAGGCAGAAAATAAAAGGTATAACGTTATCTGGTAGTTTCCGAGATATGCTTTAATAGACTATTTATTGAATGTAGTTCAAAAGAATTCAAGTGGTAAATTCCGGAAGGAAGGTGTTTTGACTTCCCGATATCCTTAGTTAAACAATTAAAGAGCGATATGCAATGTGAAAGGCGCGTGTTGTGGAGTGGTCGCAAGCGCCATGCAATGCACATGGAATCGATCTTCTCCGCCCAAGGCTGACCAAGCCTTCCATTCCTCCGAAGTCGGCAAACTGGAACCAGACTTGTCTGGAAGGATAGCAGCAATGGCTCGATATATCGGTAGGCCAGCACGAGTCATTGTGAAGGCCAGATATGCATTCAATCGCCTCCAACGATGCTTAATGAAGTCTAATGCGTGGCTCATCCCTCAGGGAATTAATCAACGTCGAGAGCTTTATCTTTTTTTACAGAATGTGATTTCTTTCGTTATGGTTATGATGTCCCATGTAGAATCCCATGTTCTCCTCTAAAGAGTTTTGTTTTAGTTTGCGCGTTGGACACGTAAACACCGTGGCTCTACTGAGGCTCGGAATGTGTATCGCCGTGCCCGTCAACATATTCCTGGAAATGTACGCCTGGCTCTTGCTTATTCGGCATTTGAAGAATCTCTCGGTATGACGTCAGGAAGCGATCAAATGATTTATGAACCTTTGTTGAGACTAGCTAAAGGCTTTGTAATTTCTCAGTGTCATTTTCTTAAGATTACAACCACGTTTCGAACGATCTGTTTCGAAAGGCTGCTTTAAAAGTATTTGCGCATTCAATCATTTTCGCCAACGAAAAACTACCCATCAAATAAGCAATCGTAGTTGTGTTGCTTGTGAAAGTATCGGTTTTAAAAGAAATGTAAGATATCTTCAAAGGCTATCACAACTTGATCAGTTCTCTCTTGAGGCATCACATGTGTGGGGCGGGGATAATATGTGTCCTACTCGCGTGTGGATACGTGCTGGAGCAAACGAGGATCTGCCCTCGCAGTGGAAGCTTCAATGTGATCTAGTGATACAATTGATTGCTTGTATAAGTTATTACATAGAGTAAAGGATAGAGTAGATTTACCGTACCCCTGACTGACCACCATCGTTTGGCGTTGGTGAACGTTTGACGTATGAGAGGTATGTTCATGTTTAGAGAATGAATTGCGAAATTAAGGAGTATTTTTGGCTTATATCTCTTAAAAGAGGAACTATGCGAGGGAACCATGTGACGAAAGTTCACACTTTTTTAAAGCTTCCGGAAATAGTGCCGATGTTTAGCCTTTGACGCGGTAAGCTTCATTAAAAAAATACGAATCGAATTATAGTTTACACATTCTCGCTAATAACAGATTTTTACTCCTCGGGAGAAGATCAACTTCTTAGATACTAGGAATTCAAGTACATTATTTGGGTCGTAGTTGCGCATGTAGCACAGCGCTCGTAGGCGCCTTGCAACACACAAGGGATGGCCCCCTGTGCTTCAGGCTCACCAAGATCTCCATCCATCCGGGTTTTGCAAATTGGTACCAGACTTGTCTGGAAGGATAGCAGCACTAGTTCGATACATCGGTAGGCCACTGCAAGTCATCGTAAAGGCCAGATATTCATTCAATCACCTTCAGTTATGCTTAATGAAGCAGAGTGCATCGCACATCCCTCAGGGATAGGTCGACGCAGAGAACTTCATCCTTCATTCTTATTGAGGCTGCTGGCTTTAGATTTTCTTAGTAAGTATTGCACATTCCTTGAAAATTAGTACACTTTTCGTCAGAAGTCTAGTAAGTGCGGTAAACCGGCCAAGTGCCAAGTCTTTAAAGATTTGCGGTTTTGGTTGTTTAGCGGTCAGATGTTGCGATGCAGAATTTTCTCTTTCCGACGAATTACTGCCAGTTACAGCCGTTGTAGTCCTCATTGTTTTGTCGATTTTCCGACTGTGCTGTTCTGCAATGATTACTTTAGTATTCAAGAAGTTTAGTAGATAGCTGTACCTGTCGAGCAATAAGGAAAAATGAAACCCTTAGTTGTGTATTTGCTCATTGAAAGTCTCTTGATTCAGTTCACAAGGCAGCTATCTGTCAAGTTTTTACTGGCTTTCGTGTTTGGTTGAAGATAACGAGAACTTTCATTCTATTTCCATTTATTTACTCGGTTACTTGAATGGCCCGTGTTCATTGGTTGTAGGGGCTCCAGCATAATTTATATTTTTTCAGAGTTTTGCTTTTTTAGCCATTGTGGTTCTTTGGAATACCGAAGTCAGTCTTGCCAAAGTCTGCGTCAGGTCGTCACCACTTTAGGCAGTCGCCACCCTTGTGGATCAGAGGGAGATTTACCGCCATGCCACTAGTTTAATACCAGGACGGTGCTCGGTCCCAGTATTGGTTTACTCTTAGTTGGGCCTCCTGGTGGAAACACCGGACTTTTTCTCAGCTAGGGAGGCTTTGCTGGAGAATTAGTCACCCCGCTGTACATCGCAGGTCGACAACCTGGAACACTCACAAAACCCAGTCACGACGAGGTGGAAAACCTCTGGGAGACCGTTTCCATTTAATTCCTCTATATACATGTTTTCCAATTATGGATGTCTACTGCTTCAGTTGAAGTCGAATTTGTTATTATTAAGGCTGCAGCTGTGCTTTCGTTAACACTTTTGTCACGACGCCTAATTTTCAGTGGTTGCGATATAGACCTATGCCCTTTTTAAAACGATGTCTACATAGTTTGTACAGCAAGGATTTCTTATTGTCCTCATCAGCAACACTATATACAGAAAGCATGTTTCCAGAGTAGGTGAAAGATCACCGCAGAACTCGTAGGGAGGAGTAGCTGCGTACTAATAAGTGTTTTCAGTAAATTGTAATGGATTTATATGAACTGTGCAGTAAGGGTGCGTCTACGGCAGAGAAATTACTCAGAGAAGTTGTACAGAAAGTTCTCGTCACATGTACTTACGAAGAAAGGAGGAACGAAAGCGGTAATATTATGATGTGGACCAAAAGATCCACATTTAGTGAGCACAAAAACAGAGTGAAAATTTGGAAAGACTAGATCGACACTTGTTCCGCTAGACTCTGATAGATTACACGTGCATTGATACAAATGCAAATAGTCGTCTTAAGACTGTGATTGATAGGGTTGAGCTTGTCGTCTTTCACAATTTAGGCAAATATTTTTGCCGCCTTTGCGTCGATATCTATCTTCCTTTCCATTGTACTCCGTGTCACTAGATTGAGAATTCTCTTACACAACTCGACGTCTCATATTTCTGCGGATCTAGGCGTTTCTTTTATCCGATTCATCTCCACACATGCGTCATTCGCGAAGGTCTTCGAGATTTTTTGGTCTACTTTATGAATGTTGTTGAAGTCGATTCTCCATGTGGTCCGTAGATAGTCACGTAGGAGCATTTCCAAGTCGTCATTTCGGGTAGTCGCCAGTCTTTACGGATGAAAGCATTCTCCTCGGACATGTCCAATACCAATTTCGCTATCCCGGAAAGATGGAATGCTTAGTTGACCAGAAGCCTAGTCGATCCAGGAATAGTAAAAAAAGCCAAGGAAGAATTAACTTTGAGGTGTACCGTACGATTCTGTATTAATGTATAGCTTACGACAGGCTGTAAAAAGTGTAATGTTGTAATGGGATAGATTTATGCTTCAAATACGAAGCGGAGGTGATGGTGATTGCTAGAAGAAGGTTGGATTCACTGGAAAAGGCGGTGGACACTATGGAAACAAACAGTTGATTCCTATCCGGCATCGTTCGATCTCTGGAACGATTTGTAGGGAGATGATTAGTAAAAAAAAATATGGAGTTTGTTCATTTGTATCATCTTCTTTTGATTCCTGTTAAATCATTCAGAGTAGTAGGGACCACTATATTTCTCAGTTTGAAATTACTAGTTTAGTTTCTAGTTCATAAGTTTCTAGGTTATACTTAGTGTATAGGTTATAGTTTTTAGTTTCCTTAACTATAGCAGTGATTCCTTACTACTAGATCAAGTCATTTTTTATACCGATTTCGATTGCCTTTACGTTTAGTGCTAAGAGTTGACCCTTGCGCGTATAGGTCTTTTTAACCCATTGTTATAGCGATATAGTAAATACATTGTTTTATTCTACCACATAATGCTGAGGCATTTGCAAAACTCCGGACGGCAGGTGTCTGCAATGGGGATCGAACACGATATTACCCTTCCCGGAGGATGGCGCGTTGACCACCACAGCTTACGTGTCTTTTTCCCCATTCTCGCAACTAGTTGGTGAACTAGTTCAAGAAGACTGAAAGTAACTGTGAGATCTACATATAGTTCTTTTTAACGATAGAATTCAGAAATGAGTGTGAAATCGAGTAGGCGTTGATAGTAGATGTCGGTTAGGATTATTCTAGAAAATAAGCGATTTTCTGTAGACCACACTGTTGCTAGTGTTCCGACCGAGAATGTAGAATCGTAGTGTTGAATTGTCGCAAAATCGCTTGATGTGATGGTGGGGATCGTATTTCCAGTGTCAGATCTCCAGCTGTCAGCTTTCTTATCAGAGTTATAATCACTTAGTATTCTTCAAGGTGACTACGCTGCAGCTGGAACCATACTGAATTCATTTCGTAGGAAATATCCCGGTTATGCAGCGATCGAATTGCGCCTTATCGGGATGTTGCGGAGACGTGCGGACTCGGAAAGGTGAATTTTTGTGGTATTTCATTCTTATTCTATTATTTGGTCTCTAATATTATCTTAAAGACGCGTATAGCGCGGTAGTAAAAGCCGCCCTGCAATACCTATGGGATCAACCTCCGCGCCTAAGGGTCACAATGCTTTCCAGTCGTTCCATCTCTCCTGGGTCGGTAAATTGTTACCGGACTTGTCGGGGAGGAAAGCAGCACTGGTTCAATACATCAATATGCCACCACGAGTCATTGTGAAGGCCAGTTATGCGTACATTCACCCCCAACGATGGTTAACGAAGTCGAATGCATGGTGCATCCCTCAGAGATTGATCAGCGCTGAGAACTTTATTATCATTTATAATATTATTTTATGAAGAATGATTTTTCACAGTAATTTGTTTGGCTTATTGTAGAAATTCGGACTATTCCGGTGTGATTACCAAGTTTGAAAAGTTGATTCATTCACCGGATACTCCACGACATCTGAGTAGTTATTATTCGGTGAAACTAGCAAGGTGGGTTTTCTTTCAGATAGAAGGTGTTTCATAACCCATGTTTTTCATAAACTGTAACAAAGTGGTTGTTGATCGAAAAATGTGGTAATGAATCATCGTAGCTTGGGGTGTTTAGAACAATTTTTCGTCAACTCAGTGGAGAACATCTTTACCACTTTTCTGTTTAAGTTGAGCAAAAGTCTTTAGATTAGTATAAAAGTTTCAGGTTCCATCTGAAGTTTCGCAATGATAGGAGGTTGGCTGAAAAAATTATAAGGAGAGCTTTGGAAAGAGATCGAGTGGGTTTCCAAATTCTTTTGTGGTTAAATGACCTACTGAAACAAATAACATTGTGTATTTTAAGTCTTTTCTATTATTTTTTTGTGGTCATTCTAGGTCTTGCTTCTATTCGCTTGTAACAAATGAAGGGTAACCGAAAGCTTCGGTTATAAACTCTTCTCCATATCGACCTGCTTCATATTTGTAACCAAGCACACAAATATTTGTATATTTTCTTCTACACGACTCGTCCTTCATATGTACTTTGTGGATCCCAGGATTTCTCGTATTCGATTCGTTTCCTCGTATCCATAATGCACGCTCTTCTAGCTTCTTACATGTGGCTTCGGCTGCTGGGATTTTTCTTTGGGCACGAATGTCATTGAATACTCGTCGAGTCGTTCTCTTTGGAGTCCTGATGTAGTTCGGCTAGAGCGTTCCCATTTGGATTGCAGAGAGTGGACTTTTCCCAGAGCAGTCCGTTACAGATTTCCTGTCCTCAGAGAGATGAGGAGCTTGGTGTGCCGGGAGCAGGATTGAACGAGCGCCATGCTTGCTCCTCGTATTCAGAAACAGTACCACTCTGCCACCTGCCCCCTCTCGCGCTGATCTCAGTATAATTTCCAAGTTTTCTGGTTGGGTAAGTTTTTCTTTGCGTGTAGTATCTAGAGTCACGCTAGTGCTTTTGCAGGTTGTCATCATCACCTAACGACTATCTTGTTGCCAGGATGTCAGCGATTCCTAAGTTTATTGCAATACCGTGGTAAAAGGTTTCGGCAAAATTATGCTTTATTATGGCACCCCGTTTCTTACGGCCGTAGTATGGATCGGCGGGAAAGCTATATTTTCGCGGTGCTGTCGCATTAATGGTTAGATGGAGTTTTTATGTAGGATGGGTTAAATATTTGGACGACTAGCGTTGTATTTATATTTATTGGCAGTTGTTTTTACTATGTCCGCTTTCTTTTCACTACTCAGGAAAGTTAGAGGAAAGCTTCCTAGTCGAGAACTTGGCACCAGACTTGTCTGAGAACCTTCCGATCCACGGAGGCTACCGACTGCCTGTGATGAAGTCCTAGGAACAGTCTAGTACGGCTATCCTAGGATCCAAGGTGGGATCGGCATTCAACCAGTATTCATCAACATTCATAGGGAAGCCCAAAAATCCTTAGTCTGTTGCCGAACCCACACAAAAGTACGAAAATCTTTGTGGATTATGGGTACGGAGAAACGAACTGAATGAAAGTAATAGTGCAGTTTCTATCGGTTCCATAAAGTACCATTCTTATCGAGATTCTGTGTGCTCTGCTTACATCGCATCCAGAGTTCCTTGCTTAAGCTAGAGTTGTCTACAGAAACCTGGATTTTGGTACCTTCCATGGAGAGCATTCAATGAATAGAACTAGGATAGAAATTTTTCTCTATCAATTCCAAATCATTGTGGGAAGATGATTTTGATCTCATCGTCGTTTGACAAGGCAATATGCAAAAACATTTATAAAGGTTATGACAAGCTTTGTCTAAACTTTTATTTTTTGGCTGTAGAATGGTGTCCAACAGTTCTTTTTTCGCAGTGAACGATGTGAGTTGTTTTAAAGTTGCCATACCCGGCTGTGTTGTGTTTTGCCGTCGACTCTAACTTTAGTTTTCCTCTCATCAAGCATCTTCGTGCTTTTGATTGAGATATTACTTTAACTTATTGCTTTACTGGTGCATTTCCGAGAAATTCTGGAGTGTGTCTTCTTCTTGGTCTATTCTCAGGCAATCGCGGTGAACTCGATGTGATCTGCTGACTTTAGCAGAGTGTTGAGATTGACGTGAGAGGAGATTGTTTAACCGGCATGTTGTAATTTCCATTAGCATATTGTTCTCATGTTATTTTGATTCGTCTTCAATGTTGCCCTATGCAGCCAAAGATTTCCTCGCCCGTAAAGGGTTGTCCTATTGGGTGATGTCATAGACGTAAAAACCTTATGTATTGCGTGCTGAGAGAAGTAATTCGTTCGCTGACTTATTTGTTTCTTCCCCAGCTCCATGATGAGACTGCTAAGTCGTTTTAGGTTTTCACAGTCACCGTTTTGCATGTTGATGTTTGCATGTAAAAAAAGGTTGTCGATGTTGATTAATCCCCGATCGATGCGTCATACACTCCATTTCATTGAGCATTGTTAGAGGTGATTGAATGCATGGGCCTATCTGGCCTATCAGTGACTCGCGGTGGCTCACCGATATATCGAGCCAGTGCTGCTATCCTTCCAGACAAGTCTGGTACCAGTTTGCCGACCCGGAGAGCTTGGTGAGCCTAAGGCGCGAGGATCGATGCTATCTGTATTGCAGGGCGCCTCCGACCACTGCGCTATACGTGTCCCTACGTTTGCATGTAGTTGTCCATAATCCATAAATCTTACCTGGTTGTGCATACAACTACAAGACGTTTATTGAGGTGTCAGCTATCCAGTGCTTACCTCTGAAACAGTCATCACTAAATTTATTACGAGCTTTCATTTGTTTCATCGGAAGAAAAGCGAGATGTTCAAGGGAAAAAATATGTTATGATTTCAGTATTATCATTTCTAGGACAATGTTCAACTTTTGCTGCAACTAATCGATCTCGCATTCACTAATCCTGAATTTTCACAGGTACGGCGAAGGATTCCTGAGTTTTCGTTCAGTGATTTTATTTTTTAAACGCGTTTTTTGAGAGCCTTTATAAATTTTAAGCATTCGTCAAACAACATTTTTTTTTCTATGGTTTAGTGAACGCTTTGGGGATGAAAATGGGCCGGATAGCACAGTGGTATTGATGTCACTCATCACGAGCATGGTGCTAGTTTGACATGGCTCCAGGCTAACCAAGCCTGTCGTCAGTCCAAGGTCGAGAAATTGGTACCGGACTTGTTCGGAACAAGTCCGGTAAAAAATCACACTCTACAATCCAAATGGGAACGCTCTACCCCGAATATCTCAGACTTCAGGGAAAATTGACTTCACCAGCATGAAAATCTTCAAGCAGAAGCCGAGGCCACGCGTAAAAGCTGGAAGATCTTGGTGGATGACAGATACAAGGAAACGAGTCGAATTTGGGAAATGATAGTATCCGCACAGTAGACGTGAAGGCGGGCCATATGAGACTAAAAAATGAAAATAAAAAAAGGTTTGTGGTCGAAATGTTAAGTCAGTGGTTGTTTCATCGTCTACAGGATGCATGATGTCTACAAACTGATCCTTTAAATGTTAGTTTGCCTTAGCGTACTAAATTGATTTTTATCCCACTTATTACTTTGTTTTCGAAAAGAAAATACTTTTAATTGAACGCGGCGTAGCGTGGGAACAGAACAGTCGTTGAAAATATACATTAGTTTCTAGACTGCTGTTATCGAAGCTTTTGATTTTGCAATCAAGTCGAACATATCTGATGCTGAGAAGCTGCAATTTAGTCAGCGGAAGTTGGATTTTCTGGAAGATCTCTCTTATGACATTGATATGTAAGTCTTAGACTGCTGATGAATTCCTTTCTTTCTTGATTTGCAGCACATTTAGTTACTACAGACCAGGAACTTTTTTAGCTTTTACTGTTTATTGCTAGAATGTTGATGGATGAAATGTTTAGTCTGCAAGAACATCAAGATGCTCATGTTGCGCTTCTGGCTGAACTAGAAAACCCACCGATAACTACTCGAAAGCGAAGGTATAATGGCAGGGAGGATTCTAAATACTACAGGTTTGTTTTATTTGGTGCTAAAAGGGCCATATGTTAAATTAATCATCTTATTCTTTTAGTGACAGAGACCGTGATCTTCCGCTCCGAAGAGGGAGCCGCTATTCTGAGCATCGAGACGTCCGTGATTCATATCGTGAGAATTTTCGTGGAATGCGTGAGAGCACGGGATATTACATGTCTCCTAATGGTGAGATTAAAAACATTTCTACCAGTTGTTGTTGAACTGAACTCTTGACTTATTTAGTTCTTTGAGTCCATCAAAGTTAAAATCCGTTTTACACTATTCTATGTCTATACTAAAGGATAAAGGATTGGTGATTGAATGCATACATGGCTTTTACAATGACTAGCGGTGGCCTACCGATGAGTCGAGCCAGTGGTGCTATCCTCCCAGACAAGTCTAGCACCAATTTATCAACCTCAGAGGGATAGAAGGCTTAGTGAGCTTTGGACACGGGGATCTATCCCATGTGTATTGCAGGGCGTCTCCGTCCACTGTGCCATACGAGCCCTTTCTGTTAACATAACGATCACAACCGAGATTTTTAGAAGTCTTTCTCACTTTTTTTGTTCGGGTAGTTTTGTGTCCTACGTTTGCTCGTTTATATTATCATATGTGCAATTCATTGTATAACTTGTTGAATAATTGATTTATTCGTTTTTCAGCGTATCCTGTGCAACAAATATATTACGGTAACCAGGGTTATTGATGGATTCCCTCGTATTCTATTTCGTTTCAATTTAAAAATTCAATGTGATCACCTATTCTGTAACCCGTTTAACCTCGCAGATTGTTTTTTCCCATGTTATTACTATTTTACTTACTAACGTTGTTGTCTGTTGAATAGTCGCATTTGATTGTTGTGAGATAAGAACAATGTGCTGCGTATTACGTAAAGTCCAAATGTTTGACATTTTCATCTTTGGAAAAGTGGACTCCAATGGTTAATGTGATTACGGAATAGTCAATCATTTTTCCGAAGATAGCAGATGTTTATTTTTTGTAGAATGTTATTTTTAGCGAGAAATCCGAGACGTGTAGAGCAGAGAAAGAGAACTGACGTGTCTCAATATAGAAAATATCATTATCTAGTAGTATCGGTCAATAACTAAGCATTTCGATGCGTTTCGTATTTGTTCTTGTCATTATATCTACATAACTGCTGTTACTCACTCGTCTGTAATGTTGTTCTGTAAAGAAGTCCCTTGCTACAATCTTTAGAATAATAAGTTTAGCGCGCTCTCAAGTTGAGTTTAGCGCTAGTGCGTTTTTGATTACACCTGACGGTACTTGTTCTATTCGAAAGTTCATAGTGCCTGGGCAGTGGTTCCTTGGCTTTGCACATGCGTCGCGAATTTTCAAGATATCATAGCGATATACGTTAGTTTGTGAAATAGGAGAGTTAAAACTGTATGGAGATGAATAACTGCGAGTAATGAATAGCCTAACGTTATATTCCTCTTGAAATTAAATCAGAATTTCGAGGTTGAAGAGCTCATTTCAAGCAACTATCGCAGTTCTCTTCTTCTGGGATGTTTTGTTATGCCTTTGTTAAGCAGAATTTTCTCGTGGTATGATTCGCAGACATGTTCGATATGTTACCGTCTCTTCGTCATTCGTAACTATTTGTTTTTCATTCCTCTATTGCTACTACAAGATTTTCTTTTTGCAGAAATACATTTTCGCTCCACCCCATTGTTGTTAAGACATTTATTAGTTAGAGCCACCAGTTATGGTTTTTGAAGGTGTAGAGAAACTGTCAATAAAATGTCATAACGTTGTTGAATTCTCCGATGAAGTTAGGCGAGAAATTTTGATCGCGTTACTCGCAGGTCCACATGGCTCATCCGTTACTTGCAAAGCGGTCAAGCGCGGAACAGAATTGATGCCGTTCTGAGATACCTTTAGACGGGAGCGAATCGTTCTGAAATATGATGTTCTTGTCGTCGGTCGAATTAATGTAACATATTCTGTAGTTCTGCTCTGTAAAAGGAACGAAAGCGTTGAGCTCGTCTTCACTTCCCCATCCCACTCTATTAACTCAACGTCAGAAACTCACGTCCATCTGGATTTCTGGAATTGCGAGTTACCGTGAATGCTCGTGGTCGTCATTATAAACTGAGACAGTCGCTCACTCTGGTTGTTCCATTCTAATCCATGGGTCCTAATGTGACGATACTCACATGTGTATCTGAGACCAGTCTTAGCGTTAAAATCTCCAGTGACGACTTTGAAGAATGTATGGTCTTTTCCGTAGAACTCCAATTTCATATAGAAAGCTTCGATTTCTTCGTCATAGCTTTATGTTGGTGCGTAAACGATGAAGACTGTCAAAGCTGGTAATGCTCCACATCTTCAGTGGTGAACATCTGATCCGAGTTGTTATTTCTTGGGAGGAATTGATGTTCAGGACCAAACTGGTGTTGACGCGAACGCCGAGACCACCGACTCTTCTTCTGTTGCATGTTCCGAATAACAGTTTTCCTTCGGCCTCGTAAACGTGGTTAAATGGATGACATCTTCTTGTCCCAGCCAATGCGATGAGATCGTGCCTTATTCTTGCCTCCATGATCAGGTCTTCTATAGAGTATCCAGATGCAAGTGTGCATGCATTGTAGAGACAAATCGTCACTTTAGTCCTCTGCGATTTAAGCAGCCTGGAGTGGCCCTGAGATTTCAACTGCCTGCCCATGCTCGTCGAACCCAACGCTACCGTATCAGGGACTCTGTTCAGCTTTTTGATACCCACATATTGCTTGCTGAGCTCAGAACGTGGAGGATGGGTTTTACTCACGGGTAGCTTGCCAGTCTTTCCAGAGTAGACGGGGTACCAACTTGTTGGAGGCGACTCTTAGCCGCCTCCTATATAGCTTTCTGCCACGTGAGTTCAGACTTTCAATCAAACTGATTCATTAAGTACAGTCCGCATAAACGAGAACACAACAATGCCCACATGCATGAAGACGTCCTCCTAAACACAGAAGGTGTGTGCGATTTCGGAGCAGGAGAAGAAGGGAGTCCATCTCCTGGATCTACTGCTTCTGAGAGTAGCAAAGGTCGCTTTTGTTCACGATTAACCCTCCCCCCATTTGCAACCCAAGGACATGCCACTTTACCTCGTAAATAACCAGTATGAGATCCTTCTATGAGGAAGATTCGTGGCTGATAAGAAAAAAAGTGGCGATTTTTGTCGTTATGAAGTCTGCGAATACAGCTTACAATAAATATTCGCTGCATGCATTAATGATGTATACCATTCGAATGTTTGTTTCTTCCTAGAGTAGTTCGCACATATATGGTGTTCAATGTGCTATAGCGAAGATATGAGCGCTCATAACTTAAAAGGTCGTAGATGCTTAATAGCAGTTAATGACGGCCATCTAAAGCCACTGATACAAGTGCTACTCCAAGAACTGTTAAGGTGTTGAAGAGAACCCCTACATTCACGAATTCAATAGTCGTTCTGTTAGTTGGAAAACACTGGAAAGGTGAAAAGCTCGATAAGTGGATACCGCATGAATTCAACGAGTGGCACCTCATCACAGGACCATTTTTTTTCTTCTTTCACCCAATAACATGACTCATTTCTCAGTGATACTTTGACCTACGATGAGAAATGGATCTTAATTAACATCTGGTGACGTAAAGGACAAAGGATAAAGCTCTCAGCGTTGATGAATCCCTGAGGGATGAGTGCCGCATTCGACTTCATTAAGCAAAGTTTGGAGGTGATTGAATGCGTACACGGCCTTTACAATGACTCGCGGTGGCCTACCGATGTATCGAGCCAGTGCTGCTACTCTCCAAGACAAGTCTGGTACCAATCTGGCGACCGCAGAGTGATGGAAGGCTTGGTGGGGCATGGGCGCGGGTATCGATTCCACGTGTGCGTTGTAGGACGCCTCCGATCACTGCTTCACATGCGCCCGAAAAATCCGGCAAGGATGAAACTCTTGAGCATTTTCCATTGATCAGTCTGCACCAAATGGCGGTTGTAATGACGTTTTGATTTTCGGCACCAGTAACGAAGTAATGAATTATCTCGGCATAACGATTAAAACATGTGATATCACTAACTTCTGCTTCATACATAATGCGTAGTAGAGTTTGGATTCAGCGAGTCCGTAGATCGAGTGGTATCCGCTGGACTATTCTTGCATATGATAGGAAGATGTGGAAAATCTACTGGCTCTCGCCCGAGTTCCTCGACGACGAACGAAACGAACGGTAATGCAGATGAATGTCATTAAACACAACAGAGAAGAACGCTGCAGCAAATACGCTTAGAATTCCTGAAAACGAAAAGTCCATTATTCTTGCATAACAATGTTTTACCATGCATTATATGATGCAGAAGTTGAATAAATTACTTACTTACTCGAATACTTGGACGGTCCGTCTTCACGAGCTGTGCTGACCCCAGCACATATGCCATTCGTTCCTTTCTCTCGCAATCGCCAGTCCATGGTGGTGGTCTTGTTCGAGCATGGCAGCTCTTGCGAGTCTCATACCGTGATCTGTAAAACAACTGCAGCTGCGGGTACAGCTGATTAACTTTGTTTACGAACACGTCCGCCCAACGTGTAGGTGGTCGTCCAAGGCGACGTTTGCATTCTCTTGGAGTCCACTCTACTGTTCTTTTCGTCCATCTGTCGTCGGCTCTTCTCATTATGTGACCGGCCCATCTATGTTTCGCTGTCGATGTATATTCTTCTGTATCTCCAAGATGTGACGGATTTCGAAGGTCAGAGCTTCGCATTCCGGCTACATAGTAAGAGCGCCAGTTATATTTCAGAAGACATCGCTCAAGCACTCTGTGAGTAGTGCGAAGCATTCTTGACGTAGTTGAAGTACCAGCCCACGTATCTGCAGCATAACAGAGAGCTGGGAGGACCGTAGAATCAAAGAGATGGGCGCAGATTTTCGGGTCCTTCAGTTGGTCGGTGGCTTCTTCGAGAGGCCCGAATGCGGCCCAAGCTGCTCTCCTTCTATCTAGTTCCTCGTTCATGTTGTTTTCCGTGTTCATTGATCGCGCAAGGTAAACGTATGAGGTGGTCTCTGGAATGAGAGAGCCATCCAATTCAATGTTTTCGCCTTATCACCATGGGTTTTTCATGAACTGGGTATTCTTTCCATATATGCGAAGTCCGATCTTTCTCCCTGCTTCGTTGAGCTCGTTGGTCATCACCTCTGCTTCGCTAGTATTTCTTGAGAAGATGGCAACGTCGTCAGCAAAATGAAGGTTTGATAGGAATTTTCCATCAATACGTATGCCTTTCTCATCCCAATCGAGTGACTTCATTATCCACTGCAGTGCAGCACTGAACAGCTTTGGCGATATTGTGTCGCCCTGTCGAACAGCTTCTCCTATGGGTAATGTAAGAGGCCGATGGAAAAGCTGTATTTTCGCAGCGCAGTTCCGATAACAGTCGGACAGAGTCCTTATGTAGGACTGGTCCATTCCTAGGTCGACGAGCGCTGATAGGATTGCATTCGTTTCAACACTGTCAAACGCTTTTTCATAGTCGACAAAGGTTAGGATTAAAGGCAAGTGGTATTCCCGACAAACTTCGATGACCCTGGACACGGTTTGGTTGTGGCCCATGCAACAAAATCCTTTTCGAAATCTTGCTTTCTCGACTGGTTGCGCCTCATCCAATGTCCTTCATGCGCGAAAGGATAATCTTCGTGAAGAGCTTGTGGAGTACATTTAACAAGCATATGGGACGATAGTTACGAAGATTCCTTCGGTCTCCTTTCTTGGGTAGAATAACCGTGCGCGACGTCCTTCACTGGTCTGGGATTTTCTCTTTTTGAAGGTAGCCTGTCATATGATTTGCGAGAAGTACATGCAAATTGTGGCTTCCAGCTCTAAGGAAATCGGCAGTGATATTATCGGGTCCTGGAGCTGTGCCTCTTTTCATGCTTTCTATCGCAACTCGAACCTCCGACGGAAGAATTCCAGGTGGCTTTTCTTCAGCGGGGGCATGGGGGTGCGGGACGGGGATTGTGGGGCGGAAAAGGTTAGTGTAGAACGTTTCCGCTATTAATTCCATATCATAGCGAGAAGTTTTGACGATCCCATCTTCGTTCCTCAGGGCTGACAGCGAAACATTATAATCGCACAAGTCCCGACGGCATTTTTTCAGACTGCTTCTTTTCTCTGCTGCTTCCAGTATTTTCTTCTGATTGTACCGTTGTAGATCTTCCTGCAAAGCTCTTCGGCAGTTGGCATTTATTACTAGCCATGTTAAACATGTTGCAGTAGGATCAAGCTTCAGTTTCTTTCTCTTTTCGAGCAACTCCTTAGTAGTGATGGAAATGCGATTCGATCTTCTTGCTTGAGGAACTGAAGCTAACTCGGCACAACTTTTCAGTCCTTCGACAAGCAGCTCGTAGTCTTCGGTCAGGTTTTTTTTAATCTGCCAATCACGTTTGGACAGGACTTCGTTCAGAATGTTCTCCTCGTATACAGCTAGACTTCTCGTGGTCGATGAAGAAAGTTGTTTTCCAGCTTGCGGCTGAATCGAATCTTCGCGCGAGGAAGGCGGTGATCGGAACCGGTACAGAATGACGCGACTACCGATGTGTCAAGTAGGCACCGTCTTCTATTTATCAGGATATGGTCGATCTCCGCATCAGTCGTATCGTTAGGAAAGTCTCATTTCCAGCGGCTGCTTTGTTTCTTCTGGAAGAACGAGTTCTCATGGAGGAGACGTGCTGCTGACAGCAGTCCTGCGAGACGGTTCCCATTCACATTTCTTTCTCCTAGTCCAAAATTATTGATCCTGTATTCGCTCTCGTTGGCTTTTCCTATTCTGGCGTTGAACTCTCCAACAACAAGTTTATGGTATGCCTTATCATTGCAGATGACTTCCTCCAACTGATAGTAGAACG